CACTCCAAATGAATGATCCTGTACATTCCTACTAATATTTTCATCACTCATCAGACATGTACAGTTGACCAGTGAGCAGGTCAGACACCACATCCTTCAGCAATCCCATGTACCAGTATCATCAATCCTCCTCCCTGTGGTAGTAATAGTAAGTAGTAAGGGGGTGTTTGGATATAGTGACTAAAGTTTAGGAGATGTCACATGGGACGTCGCGTGGGGTGTTCGGATACTAATAAAAAAACAAATTACAGAATCCATCAGTAATCCGCGAGACGAATTTATTAAGCATAATTAACCTGTCATTAGCATATGTTTACTGTAGCACCACATTGTCAAATCATAGACTAATTAGGCTTAAAAAATTCGTCTCCCAAAACAGTCTCAATCTATGTATTTAGTTTCGTAATTAGTCTATATTTAATACTCCATGCATATGTCAAACATCCGATGAGACAACGACTAAAGTTTAACATGGCCACCCATCAGGCAAGGTCCATTCATCTGCCGGACCAGACCAGACCAAACCATACAGCTCAATATACCAACCTCTCATTAGGCGCCATGGCCACCATTGCCAATCAATCAACCGACTTGTCACAAAACCTTCACAAAGGCGCTACCTATATCACTGCAAATATGCAAACCAAACTTCAGCACTGCATAGCAACTACTTGAAGACATTAAAAAACAAGCCACACTACTCTATGACAACACTTGGTGCAAAGTGCAAGAGAACATACGGTTCCAAATGCACGATTGCTTAGATATATATACAATGAATGTTCTATGCCAAGGACATGCTGCTGTTACATGGACGCAGCTAGGAAATTGGATGCCTTCTGGATGTCGTAATAGTATACTACATATCAGTTGAGAAAGTTACCTCATGCTGTAATCTATGGATCCTCTGTGCTTGTTCTCTGATGCAAACAAGGTTGTTCTTGATCTCACTGCATATCCTTCCTTCCAGTAGTCTCACTGGAACCCAGAGCTTGGGCTCCAGCTCAAGCAGGTAAGACAGTGTCGTCTGGAATTCCTGCTCCTCTGAATTTCCCCACCTTCGACAATGCTACCATCAACCTATGCAAAACACAGGGCATCATCAACAGCCATGTAGACAGTAGACTCTTTATCAAAATAACAATGGTATTGACGTTTGCAACCAAAATTATGCCACAATTTAACAGCTGGATATGCTAGAGCCAGATTGGGTTCTCGAGAAAACTCTTGACGTAGTGAGATAAACTATGGACAAGTGAAAAATCTAGACTGGCCCATATAATATAAGAGGACTATGACTAGGTTTGTTTATGGATCTCATAGGGACCAAGAGCAGACCTAGTACTGCCACACGATCATAAAAATTCATAACATCAGTACAGCACTCACTGAACCAGCAACGTTATGCCCTCATAGCCCCACATCAAAAGATGGTTCCCTTGCCAATTCAAAGCAAAAGGGATGAGTTACCAATGATTTCGACATCCTTATTACCTAGCTCAACCAGCGCAATGTGGTGAAACCTAAAACACCCGATCAGTGAGTGAGTCTGGATCCAGTCTGAGATCACTGGACCCGACAATGTTGGTGGTGATTGATTTAGTGCTAGACTAGACTGTACCAGCGCAGCAATGAGCAGAGCATCATTAGTGTTATAGGTAACTGGATTCAGTAGCACAGCTGGGGATCAGCTAGGACCACAGTAGGGTATATTACATACATATTGGCGAGCAATGAGGAAGGAAGGATCAATGAAGGAAAGGAAAGGAAAGGAAAGGACAGGTAGGTACCTCTTCAACAGACCATTTCCCCTGGAAGAGCTTGAAATCGCCGTCGATCATGTTGAAGGCGATCTCCCTCCTGCGCGCCCCGGCAGCGGGCAGTAGCTCCATGTCCCCCTCGTAGCAGTCTATGGTGCCCTTGGCGTTGAACTTGAAACCCAGCGCGAGATCCTGCTCCCCGATCTGGTCTTCCACACGGTGCACACGAGAAGTTCCCCATTCATTCATGAACAAGCTGGATGCATTTACAGGCTGAGCTGTATAGTAGGAGGAGGAATCGAATTTGGGGTGCGGACCTGACCTGGTAGAGGCGCGCGAAGCCATCGTGCTGGTCGAGGAGGCGGCACTCGGAGAGTCCCGGGATGAAGTCGGCGAGGCCCTCGTAGTCGGTGAGCGTGGCCCAGACGGCCTCGAGCGGTGCGTGGACGCGCACCCGCGCGCGCACAAGGCGCCGGTTCCGCTTCCCGACCTTGGACACCTGGATCTGGAAGCCGATGCCCTCGTCGCGGTCCTCCTGGTCGTCGTCAGGCGCGGGCCAGTCGTCCTGGCCGCCGGTCGCGTCTCCGGCGGCGACGTCAAGCGGCGGGTCGGGCGAGGCGGGGATGCGGGAAGAGAGCCTCGGGGATGGGGCGGAGGGGAAGACGAGGCGGAGGCGGGCGGTGCGGGGGCGAGGGAGCGGGCGTGAGAGGCCGTGGCCGTGGGAGGAGACGCAGCAGCAGGAGGCGGCGGTTGCCATGTCCGTCGTCCGGGTCCGGCTGCCGCCTCCCCTCACACTGTATCTTTTGATTAGTTATTATTTCTGTGTATAATTACTGTATTATAAGCTTATCATTAGTTACGTGTATGCCTTGCAAATAAAATAAACTAGGCCGGCCTGGCAATGCGCCAATGGCGTTCGGCTGGTGCAAAATTCCTCCGCAATTCACTGTTTATGGCTGAAATTTTATTGTTTATGGCTGAAATTCACTGTTCACGTTCTCACAAATTCTTCCTGATCCATCCAGATTTCTCCAAATTTCTCCCAGCGAACATGGCCGTAGCAGGATAGGATAAGATTTGCTCCCGTGTCCCCCTAGCTTGTTTATACCTCTGCTAGTCTAGTAACACTCTCGCTTAGGTAAGGCACATTTTTAAAGGAAAAGCCCCCCCCCGTGGTTGTTATTAACTTGAAAACATTATCTAATTTAGAGCATGATTAAAAAAAAGAATGCTCGAACAGTCCTAAAAATAATATAATTCTAGATTTTAAATAAGTTAACATTTTTTAAGTTTGATCGAGTTTGTAAAGAAAAAACATTTATGTCTCCAATTAAGTTTAGTACGAAAATAATCAATGTAAATATACTTGATATCATAGACGTTACTAGTTCCTTTTTGTATAGATTCAGTCAGATGTAATATTTTTTTGCCTCCTCGTGAAGTGAATTGCATTCTCTTTTTTTTTTGAAGGGGGAGTACTTCCTCCGCGTAAGTTGACTGATGTAGCATATGCCTCTCTCGTTATACTCTCCATAACTTGAAAGGTTATCTATTTTTACATAGAGTCATGTTGCTAATTCCCAATACTACGCGTTGTACTCCACGTAAGAAATAATTTTGTTAATTCACAATCATAACATCGAATCGAGGTAATAATCAGAACCTATTTCCAACTTCTGCATAAAAGCATGTGGCCTAATAAACAAAAAAGAGAGAGTAAAAACATGATATTCTAAATTGTCAATTCTTAAGATCACTACCCATATATTCAAGTGAAAAAACGCATGCAAACCCAAAACTCAAGACATATCATTGTCAAATATTTTATACCATATGTTTCGCTGCTCTACTGGAACCTGAGCGTGCAAAAGTAATAAGCTTGTTAGCTTGCTCGTAAACGATCGTAAATTTTTAGTCGGGAACAGTGTTTTTCTCTCACACCAAACCAGCCAGTAGTAAATAATCCACGATACGATACGGCCTCCCGAACAGGCTGAATGTTGCTAGGACGCACACCCGTGTTCCTTTTGTGTCGACGGTGTGGTGAGCCTTTTCAAATCCATATTTATCTCATGAGAGCTAGCAATAAGTATTGCCCGTATCTTAAATTCGTACGCAAGTGGAACTACGTATATACGAGCAATGTTATGGAGAGGACGTGAAATTCCGCTTGCGTTTTGATTTTTGAAATGCAGCGATTTTGTGGTTACCGTGATTGGACGTTTTTTTTTTCTCTGGGTGCGGTGGTCGGCGCTGGCGGATGCAGGATGCGAAAAAGGAAGAGCTAAATAATAAAGATTTAGAGTTAGGGGTAGAAATTAATAATGATTTGAGATTAAATAACTATGATCTAATAAAAAAATCAGGCCCACTAGGCTCCAGCCCCTCAGCCCCCTTTGATCCGCCCCTGGTGGTCGGCATGCACGGATTGCATTGGGATTTGGTGGTCGTCGTCTGTATCCGTGGCCTCTTTCTCCTCCTCAAGTGTCAAGTCTGGAGTGCCACTCAAACACGTGTGTGGTTTTCTGCCTCCGTTTTTTCGAAGAAGAAAAAAGAAAAAATAAGGAAAAATAAAAAGGGAGACTTGATGAGAGGATTGGTCAGTGTGTGTCGTGGTCTCCATGCAATGCAATCCAATCCAATCCCGAGCTTTCAGACAGCAAGCAGCAGTGTGAATGGTACGCTAGCTATGATTTGTGCGATGGATGTTATTATCGTATCAAAAGCCGCCAGCCCAGTTGTAATTGTGGCAAGGCAAGTTTTGCTTTGGTGACCAACCATACATGATGCAACGCACCAACGCATACAGTCCGTGCTCTGCCTGCCTACGTGTCTGTCCCCTTCTCTCTCTCTGTGTCTCCTCTGCTTTCGCCTCAGCACTCCAAAGCTCCTTCCTCTTGCTGATGTGGGTTTCATTCTCGTTCAGCTGAGGGAGACATGGAAGGATGAGCAGTGGAAAGTGTTGTGGTGAATTCTCTCTCCATTTCGGTCGGTCGGTCCGCGCATTACACAGAGAGAGAGAGAGATTTCTTTCTGTGTGTAAGAAGAGTACTCCTACTCATCAAGTCGTAAGGACTGTACTGAAATACTGAATGGAACAGGGACAAATCTTCGTTTCCCCCTTTATATATATATATATATATAGGCTTATTACTTATTCAGTCAGGGATCCAATTGGGAATCCCATCTCATCTCTAATACAGAGCAGAGTACATTACAGAATTAGATACAACATGATCATCAGTAATCGCTTGTTATTGTTGTTGCTTGGATTCTCTCCTCCGAGTCGTGGCTGCAAATGAGAAATACTAAGGATAGGGAGTGGATACAGGCCGCCTGCGGTGCCGAAGAAGCGAGTGTTATTTGTCGGCGTGGTGGTACGCCGCCTGCGGGTGCGGGTACCCTCTTCCGTTGTGGTGGTGGTAGTGGTGGTACGCCTGTCCGCCGCTGGCCATGGGCACCATGCCGACAGCGGCGACGCCATGCATAGCGTACATGCTGGTTGGGACGGGCACCTGCTGCGGCTGCGGCTCGTGCACCAGGCTGTGCGGCACCGGCGTGGAGGCGAAGATGTGGTCGGACGGGGACTGCCCTTCGTTGGAGAGGCCCTGCATCCGCTTCACGTACAGCCGGTACTTCTGCAGGTGGCTGGCCACGTTCTCGCGCGTCAGCCCTTCCACGTTCATCAGCTGCATGATGGTCTTGGGCACCGCGTTCTTGATCCCCAGGTGCGCCACCACGTCCACGAACCGCTTGTGCAGCTGCGGCGTCCAAACCAGCCGGGGACGCTTGCTGCTGTTGGCGTTGTTGGTCGCCGCGCCGCCGATGGCTGCTGACGAGTCCGCCCCCCTCGTCCCCCCTTGCGTGTCCCGCTGCCCCCGCCTGGGGATGGAAGGGCGCGAAGGAGGAGCCGCTCCCTCCGCTGCCCGACGACGACGACGACGGCGCGCGCCGCAGCCGCGACACCGTGGCCGCCGACGCGCGGTGCACGTCCAGCAGCGTCCGCCCGGGCTCCGGCGGGATGCGGAACGCCGCCGCCAGACCCGGGGGCACCAGCGGCTGCGACAGAGGGGTCAGCTCGTCGGCGCCCGGGAGCCCCGACTCCCACTCCATCACGCGCCCGTCGTCGTCGCCGCCGTAGCACACCATGTGGAGCTCGTAGTCGTCCACCGCCTCCTCGCCCATCCGAATCGATGGATGGATCCCCACCAACCCTACACACCTGCTTAATCCAATTCGAATCCCCAAATCGATTCAGCAGCACAGGCACAGCATCAACCCCAAATCAATCAATCAATTCCCATACGGAATCGAGCAATCCAGCCACGGCTCCGTCGATTCAACCGCCGGCGAGATAGGGACAGGGACGGAGATATTTGTGTGGGCGTGGGGAGGAAGAGAAGAGGAGCTGCTGCCTGCCTGGCTGGGGCTGGGGCTGGCTGAGGTGTGAGGACGCGGCCCATAGTTTAATGGGCGAAATGGGAATAAAGGGCAAAAGCGGAGGGGAAAAGCGCACATCAGGATAGGATTTTAGATCCCCTCCCCCTCCACGTGGACCGCGATCTTTTCTGATTCGCCTCTCCACCCTCGCCCGCCGTCCGATCCTGCGCTTTCCCGTGGCACGATCGGGGTTTCTCACCTCTTTCCGGGGCGGACTCGCAGGCGGCCCCCGAGATATTTCCTCGAGATTCGGGTACCGCAAATCCGGCGGCATTTTCGTTCGTGCAACTCATCCTGCTGCATCTCTTTGCTGTGGGCTTGTTTCATCCTTGTTCAAACCAGCGTCGCTGGCAGCAGCTGTTTTTTCTTGCCCTATATCCCCTCTCTTTTCTTTCTTTCTTTCCGGCCTACTAGAATCAGATTCTGACCAGTACAGTAATAGCTTGGGATGAGATATTTTTCATCGTCCAATAAATCTTGTTATTAATTAACAAAATCAAACAAAAAATATCCTTTATTCAAAACAAGAACATCAACCAGACAGAGCGCTTCCCCCCCTTCCATATCACTGTTACGCAAAGTATCTTCGAATGAGTTTTTTCTTATCCATGTCTTCATTTTTATTTAATATATGCCAATGATGCAACATTTACTCTGAAAAAGACGCGCCAGCCATTGAAAAGCCACTACAAAAACGCAAAAAAAAAAAAAAAAATCAATGATCCCCTCTGAAATTTTCCTTTTTTCTCTCTTGAATCATGCGTTTTCAAATGCACCACAAACACACGTGTACAACCAAGTAGTCATAAGCGTAAGCTCAAATATATGAATTAAATGCAAGGTAAATATGAATGTAAGACAAACCAAAAAAAAAGATGTACTGACATATTTTTCGAAGTCCAGATCCCCACTTGGATCCTAAGTCTCTATTGTGGAAGCCGTGAGCGATCACCCGCTGTGAAGCTCTAGGTACGTTTCTTTCAACCACTTTTCACGCTCTACTAGTTGATCTTTTCCCTTGCGGGGACAAGATCGTAGGCCGCACTGACCGTCTCATGGCAAAGCGACGTCTAGTCGTCTAAAGCAATGTTCCTAAAGTAACAAATGCTTCACCATGGACTTGACGCTATCACGAAATGCTCAAGGCTTGGCTCAGCTTAACTCGAGAAGGCTCTAAACTTGCTCTTTGATTCAATAGATATCACAATTATCACTCAAATCATACAAAGTGTGAATTAGGAGCTCTCGCAAGGCCTTTTTGAAGTTTGATAACTCTATAATGCATCATCAGCCCTCCAATGGCTATGAGATGGCGTATAAGTAGGCCTACCATAAAAACTAGCTGTTATAGCACTTTTGAGACAAAACTAGCCTCGACCGGTTTGGCAAACCGTCTTAAGCCGGTTTTCCCTAAAAACTAGTCTTATACCGCTAGTTTGCCAAAGCCGGCACAGGTCGAGTTTTGTAGGACACTCTCAAATAAAATTTTGTTTGGAAATGGATTCCAGCAAAAGGTCACTCAGGAGGGTTACTGTTAGGGGTGAAGATGGAGAGTTTTGAAATAGAGCAAGTTGAGTTGGCTGGTTATTTTTTGGGTTGTTTGATAAGGAATAGGCTAACTAATTTTAGGTTCTGGGTCCTTAACGTTTATGGGCCTGCCCAACATGAGTTGTCTGAGGAGTTTATTTTGGAATTATCAAACTTCTGCACTAGTGAAGTACTTCCTATGGTGTTAGTAGGGGATTTTAATCTCATTAGAAGTAACAAGGATCGAAATCAGGGTCAAGGGGATCTTAAACTGATGGAACTTTTTAATAATTTCATTGGGTCTTTTCACCTTAGGGAAATTTTTGTCAGTGGGGTTAAGTTTACTTGGTCTAACAAATAGAAAAACCCCACATTGGTGAAACTAGATCGTATTCTCGCCACTACTAGCTAGGACTTGAACTATTCTCATAGTTTTGCTTGGTCTAAAGTTAGAGTTGGCTCTGACCATTCACCACTCATCATAGATACAAGAGAGCAAGGAGCCTCCAGGCCTAAATATATCTTTTTTGAGGAAAAATGGATACATCATGAGGGTTTTTATGATCTCTTGAAAACTAAGTGGGGGGAATTTAAGTGTGGTTCTGTTAATACTCCTTATTCTCTGGATGTGTGGCATGGGTGCTTGCAATCCTTAAGACATTACTTGAGAGGGTGGAGTCTGAGAATTTCTGGTGAAAACAAAGAGACCAAGAAAAATATTGCCATTAGAATTGAAGAAATTGGCATAATTGCTGAAAAAAGACTCTGAGTGGGAAGAAAGAATTAACCTAGAAGAGACCTTGGATAAAATGAATTTAATTGAGGAGCTTCAATGGAAACAAAAAGTGGAACTAACTGGATCTTGCAAGGGGATGCAAATACCTAGTTTTTCTACCAGTTTGTTAATGGGAGGAGGAGAAAGAAAATAATTACCTTTCTTGAAAATGGTAATGAGGAAATTAGGGGCCAAAATGCTATCTCTTCACACATTGTAGACTACTACAAGAGTCTCTTTGGGCATGATGAGTCCTGTAGCATGTCTCTGAATTCTGAATTTTGGCCTGCTGAGTTACAGTTGTCTGAGTCAGATAGCCTGGATTTAGTCAAACCTTTCTCCATGGAGGAGATTAAGAAGGTAGTAATGGGGATGAAAGAAAACTCAGCCCCTGGTCCCAATGGCTATGGGGTAGTGTTTTTTAAGAAATTTTGGGAATATATTAAGGAGGAGTTGAAGAGTATGTTCACATACTTTTACAATGACAAGCTTGATATTAAAAGGTTGAACTATGGGGTGATTACATTGGTACCTAAACTTAAAGAAGCAAACAACATCAAACATTTTAGGCCCATCTGCTTATTGAATGTAGACTTCAAATGTTTTACTAAGGTCCTTACCAACAGGCTAGGTCCAGTGGCTAAGAAGATTATTAGTAAGAATCAAACTAGTTTCATTAAGGGAGGAACATCTTGGAGGGGTTGTGGTTTTACATGAAGTTATACATCAACTGAAATCTTCTAAGAAAAAGGGCTTATTCTGAAATTAGATTTTGAAAAGGCATATGATAGGGTTAGGTGAAGCTTTTTAGAACAAGTCATGATAGGAAAAAGTTTCCTGTAACTTGGATCTCTTGGGTGATGAAAACAGTAAGAGAGGAAAAGCGTGTATCAATGTCAATGGGGAAATGAGTCCCTAGTTTAAGACATTTAGAGGTTTAAGGCAAGGAGACCCTCTTTCTCCACTTATGTTCAATCTAGTAGATGATGCTCTAGGCGTGCTCCTTGATAAAGCTTCTAAAAAGGACATATTAAAGGGGTTCTTGAAGATCTTTTACAGGGGTATTACACATATTCAATGCGCTGATGACACAGGTGATCATGATAGATGGATTTGCAACTTCAATAACTAACCTAAAACTGATTTTATATTGCCTTGAATGGCTGACTAGATTAAAAATAAACTACCATAAGAGTGAAGTGTATGGCTTTGGAGTTTCACGGGTAGAGAAGGAAGAAATGGCTAATATGCTTAATTGTGTCCTGGGTGATCTACCTTTGAAATATCTAGGGATTCTAATTAGTGACCATCATTTAACCATGGGGGCTTTTAGCTTTTTGCCTTAGAAAATGATAACTAGACTTGACCCATGGAAAGGGAAATTCTTAACTTCGGGTGGGAAACAAATCTTAACCAATTCCTGTTTGAGAAGCCTACCTTTGTATTGTATGGGTTTTTACTAGTTGGCTGATGGGCTTCATAAGAGAATGGATACCATTAGGGCCAATTTTCTTTGGCAGGGGGCTGAGGACAAGTTTAAATACCACATGGACAAATGGGAAATGGTATGCAGACCAAAAGACCAAGGGGGCCTGGGGATGATAAACACTAGAATTATGAATGACTGCTTAATGGTCAAGTGGATTTGGAAGATTTTCCAGGAGCTTGATGAACTTTGGTTTAAGATTCTTATAGAAAAATATATGGGTGAGGGGGGGTTCTTTGAGTCTAAGATAAAGGGAGTGTCTCAATTTTGGCAAGGCCTCCATAAAGTGAAGCATCTTTTTAAATGGGGTGCTGTGTTCAAAGTGAGAAATGGAGATCATTGCAAATTTTGGGAAGGCAGTTGGGCCAAAGAGGTTCTGTTAGATAATCTACTGCTTCCTTGTGTGAACACACAACAAGGGAAGGCGACGTCGAAAAGGCTCCCTGCTGTGGTACTGTAGCCGCGGTAGAGGCACGCGCCGAATGGCTCACCTGCTGTACTGTAGCCACATGTAGGGACAGGCGCAGAAATCAGTCCTGCTGTGTTATCTAGTTACTATTGCAGCATGGAAGCTGTACTAGGACTAGATGGATAGAGTTGTATATATAATTTGCTACTGCAACTCAACAAAGAGAGTTCAGTTTTGCCATCTCCTATATAGGGCTCCAGCCAACGCTGGTGCTTGTACTGAGTGTGTGCTCTGTTCTCCCTCTTCTTCTACCTTGAGCCATAGTGTGTGTGGTCGGACAGCCTCTGTCGTGCTCGGCCGTGGTCGGCAAGACCGGTGAGTGGTCGACTCACCTGAGCCGGTGATCCTGTGGGCTAACAAGTGGTATCAGAGCCGTACAAACGTCGTCGTTGGACTAACCGCTGGCGATGACGAACGGTTCAGAAATGGGCAACAGCAATGGCACTGCTGTGGCTGCCCAACCACGGCTAGAGGTCATTGTTCGCATGGTGCGGGAGGTCAGCGGCACCAGTTGACCGACACTGACTCGCACCAACTATGGAGAGTGGTCGGTGACCATGAAGGTCAAGCTCAGAGACCGATGGCTCTGGAATGCTGTTGACAAGGGCACTGACAATGAGGAAGATGACATGTCATCGTTGAAGGCTATCCTCGCTACTGTACCACGCGCTAACGGATGTATATTACATCCCGCAGCTATGTTCGAGCATCATCAGCATTGGTCAGCTGGATGAGCGCTGTAGCGAGATACTGATCAAGGACAGAGTCCTTAGGATCAGGGACCAGGAGCAATGACTTCTCGCTAAGGTGAAGAGGTCCCAGAACCGGTTGTAACTACTCGACCTAAAGGTAGAGCAGCCGGTGTGCCTGGAGGCAAGGCACACCGAGGAACCGTGGCTGTGGCATGCCCGGTTCGGACATCTCAACTTCGACCTGCTTGGTCGGCTTGAGAAGATGGTCCAAGGGCTACTCCACATCAAGCACGGAGGCGATCTGTGTGACAGCTGTCTGGCCGGGAAGCAGAGGAGGCTACCGTTCCCAAAGGCGGCCAAGTATCGCGCGAAGGACGC